TAATAATGCATAACAAAAGACCGAGTTTCCGCACGCGGAGCTTTTGGAGTTCTTGCCGTGCGGAATGAAGGGGATCGAACCGCAAATAATACCAAAAATATCACTGCCGGTATCGTCGTGATTTCATCTAAAATTTGTGTAAACGTAATAACAGTAACAACTCTGCGTAAGTACTTATTGACCGTATCCATATGAAAGGGACGCGAAAAAATTTCTCAGAATTTCCTAATTTTCAGACGTTCTCGTTTAATTTTCCAGGCAAAATTATACTTTTGCATGAAAATTCAAGATAGATTTAGTCACTGAGTGGGTTTCGTCGCGTTTATAATTATGCGAAAAAGAAATTTAAGAATCAACTCAAGTGTCTATAATAATAGATTTGAAGAAAGCAATACAATTCTGACAAAACTGACATTTCATAAAAAATTTTCTCTTATTTTTAAGAAATAGAACGAACTATAATTGCATAGTGCATATGGAAACTTTGCATGGGAGAGGTATATTTAGAATATATTTTTAAAATTAAAAACATATTCTATAGAGATATATTTTTAATATTCTATAAATATATTCTAAAATATATTTTTAAAATTAAAAGTGAGAGAAAAAATTAAAAACATCTAGAATATATTTTTAATAAGCAGAATTCAACTCTCTCAGGAAAATATTTTAAAATAAATGTCTGCTGAACAAGACCAGCGTTTAACCGCTAATTTGACCGACTCCTTTTTCTCTCGCAAAATAAAGAGAAGCAAGATCATCGAAAGGAAGATTTCAGCAGAAATTCCCTGAGTTCCGATAAAATTCCCTGATGATTCCCGACTCCTCTATACGAGGAAAGTTTCAGAAGAATTCCAGGTTTTTCGGATCTTTCCTGGATGATGAACGCTCAGCGTGAGTCGAACGGAGTAATCCGCGTGCTTATTCCGCGCGGCAAAAGAAGCGAGATGATCGGATTAGCCGACTTTTCGCAGGGATTTGGACGAAAACCAAACGAGAGAGCCCGCTCAAAGAGAGCGGCCGTGCGTTCGGAGCAACTCGTCCAGCACGCAAACTCCGCTGGAAAAACGTCGATAAGCGTCGCACGCTTCTCGCCGATCAAGTCGAGAGCGACCGGGGTCTCGTGGAACCCGCGCAGGAGATCGAGACAGCGGAGGGTGGATCGAGCAGTCGATCTTTGCGGGCGGGGTCGGATCCATCGCCGACCGGGTCGATCGACACACCGCCGCGAGAAGTCAAAGACAAGGTAAAGGTATAAATGCCGAGCGTTCGCCACCTGCGCTACGAGGTTCCGCTCCGGTGCAAAGCGGCCGAGAGGAGTCCAGGTTAAGACCACCGACGTGGCGCTCCATCTATCCGGGGGGTGGCGACTACCTTTCACGAGGGGTAGTCTCCAGCCTTGCGAGACGCGAGATATCCGCCGATAATTATGGCTAGCGGATGTCGGACAGCTAGAGGATATTCATTACTGAGAAACGCGGAGATGTCGGGTTTTGTAATGATAGTTTCATGTATGATATTGCGGAGACATATGTTCAGTCTCTGATAGCACTGATAAAATTATCGCGGATATAAATTTACACTTGGATAGGGTAACTTCACGAGTAATAGTACGCTTGATAACTTTTAAATCATATCGTATGTTGCTCCCTTTGCTTCCCTTGGCACAACCCAAAAAATTAAGTTTTTAAAAAAAAGTTATTGTTCAAATATTATTGCTCAGCTTGATGGAAAATTATTGACTAATAAAATATAATATTCACAAAAAAATATATTTCCAACATAATTAAATGTCATATCTATCATTTTGTTCATATCCCTTGAAAAACCACTCCTTTGAAAAAGTCGGATGATTTTTCATTAATTAAATTAATTTATTTTTTTATGATTGATAAGATAATTAAACATTATATTAATAAGATTGTGATATAATATTTATTTATTATAATTACTCATTCATAGTAATAGCCCAATATATGAAAAATTTTGGACTATTTCAAGCTCCTCTTCCACGATTGGGAGAATAAGGGATAGAAAATACGTTTGTGTCGTGATACGAGTAATACCTGTACGCGGTCAATTTCGCTCCATGCCGGATCGATTAGCGTCAAATCCATAAGCTCATCTGTACATCCGTTATATACCGGGTAACGTGAGATTGTTGCCGATCCCGATGATATTGGGGAGGAGAATGTCGAGCGCAGGTCCCCTGTAAGGCGACACAGGTACATATGGGCTCTCCCGTAGTGAATGGACCAAATGATATAAATTATTTATAGATTTCGACACCCAGACAGAGAGAGATAGAGGCGGGCGCGGAGGGTACGCGAAATTGGGGTGAGTCTGGACTCCCTAGGGGGTCCGCTCGCGATCGAAAACCCCCGGGGGACTCCCCCGCGCTCCCCTTAACATATGCATTCTCGCTTCGAGATCACCGTAAGCCTATATAAAATTGATTCCTAAGTACCTCGTATTCGTGTCGGCCTCGTGTGTCTTTTAACACCTCCATACTTGCCCCCTTCCTCCCCTTTTTGTTTTTTCATATATGTAGCAAATAAGAAGAGAGTACTGCAGTTAACTATAGCTTCAGTTATCGATCATTTTCGACAACATGATAGATATGATAAACCTAGCTTGTTTAATCAATAGATCTCTATCAATAGAAAAATATTTTTAATATTATTCTTATAGTACGTAAAACGTGACTATTTTGTACTATTTGCTATTCTCAACTGTTTGTTTTTACTAATTACTTTACAGTTACTGTTTGTCTGTTTTTCTAATGTCAGCTTAAGCTGAAATAAAAGTGTCATACAGTCGAAGCTGACTAAACCTTCTTAGACCCATTTCCACCAATATAAGATTATTGCTCGATTCAATTTATTGTTTATCTTTTTCTTATTCTGAGAATAGAATAAGTTAAACTGAGATTAAGTTAAACTGAGTTATGCCCATTTCCACCAACGTAGATTAACTTTAATCTCGGTTTAACTTATTCTTCGTCTTTTTCTAATCTTTAGAATTGGAAAAAGACGAAGAGTAAATTAAATCGAGATTAAATTTAATCTACATTGGTAGAAACTGGCATTAGAGAGAGTAAGTTAAACTGAGATTATTGTTAATCTTACATTGGTAGAACCGGCCCTTAAGGACACAGAAATCTCGCTGACTGTACTACACCACTTTCGAACTCGGTCTTGTAACAAATCGGAACGGGCCCGCGATCGCGTAGCTCGCCCCCCTGGGGTCCAATCTAAATCAATGGGCTTGTGGGTAATCGCATAATAATTACCATGGACCCCCTCTACCGCCCATCTGTCGCTGACCGACGGGGCGTACGACCCTCGGAAGAAGCAGGCACTCCATACACGGCGACACACCCGATGAACATGTCCCAGCAGGTCCCATTGTCGACGAGCACCGTTCGGAATGTCGCGAAGTTGAGACACCCCTCGGCAGTCACCACTCTTTCCAAACTGTCATACATTCGATCGTGTACAAACCACCGCGAAATGCAATTCTCAAACTAATATCTTACTTCAATTTAAATCCACAAATTAAGTCTCGTATGTGATGCTCGTATCATAGAATATCGTTAGATTTCTCCAAAGCTGTATAGACATATTTATATTTAATGTAACAGAGAGCGTGAAGTATTATACATCAACGCGGCCATTTGTTTCAGATAACAAAATGGAGACAATATTTTTAATCAGCTTTTGCCTCGGCCTAGTGACCGGCCACTTTCGTGGACCACATCATCCAAGGAGTAGCGTGTCTCATCATCATTACACACCGGATAGCGACGCAATCAAATTGACACAGGATGATGAACTCCTTCATGACGCAACGTGAGAAATAATTAAACAAAATAATTAGTTCTGTAAATAATCTTGCTGTTTCATAATATATAATTAATTCCTTTATATATTTTTTTATATATAATATCTATTTATACTACAACGATATAACTAAAAAATTATCATTTTTTGTTGTTTACAAAAAAAGAATGTAAACTTAAAGAAAAAGGACATAATTTAAAAGAACATACTTTTATTCCTCTACAATGTTATTTTTACAAAAAATTGCATTTTAAAATTGATATAAAATTTTAATAATGCAAAGCATTCAAATTTATTTTCTGGAAAACTTTGTTTTTTTAATTGTGTCGTTGTAGCAAATGAGTGATCTTGTGATTGTTTATCTTATGATTATAGACATTTAAAGGAAGATATGGGTTCCATGGCCGATCAACTCGATTTTTCGAAAATGACTGAACAAGAGATAGAGTTCCACTATTTTCAGTATGTTTCAGACATCAAAGATTGCTTCGTTTATCCACCTTAAACGTTTTCTTTTACACATTGCTAATATAGAAGCTTGGTAATTATAGAATTCACGATTTCGACAATAATACAAAGTTAGACGGATTAGAAATTTTTCACGCTCTTCAACATACGATGCATGAAAACGAGGAAGAGGGGATACAAAAACCAGACGAAGACTGGATTGTAGGTACGTTTCAATTCCACACATTCAGAAAATATACTTATATATTACGACTCTTTTTGAAGTATACAATAAAATTATTTAATCTCTATTTTGCCTTAGTGCTAATAGATCAAGTGTTAGAAGAGGACGATTTAAACAACGATGGATATCTAGAATATGTCGAGTATGTGTTGGGCAGACAAAGGGATCATGTCGCACAAGAGAAACGCAACAAGCTCAGAATCGGAACATGAAGATTTTAGATATAAACGATTTGCATCATAGAGGATTTTTAATTATATGTCAATATATAGTTCGTGTCATAAAATTGAATTTAAAAGTGATAAAGAAATGAAGGAAATCTTGGCGAAAACTACTCACAAATAAAAACTACTCAAGTAAAAACATAAAAAATATTGAAAAAGAAAACGAAAAACAGAAAGTGAAGCAGAAAATAAACAACGGTCAATATAAAATTGCAATCAAATAATATATAAGTAATAAATTATCTTAACTTATTCATTGAGAGGAAGACCCCTAACCGTGAGTCAAAACGTTTGAATTTCTGTAATACATAATAAAATTGATTATGCAACAATAACCGGCGTCGGCTCTTAAAAGCGTTTTATTCCAGTTTGATTTAATACAAAAGTAATGACATGGATAAATTTAATATGTCGTACAGTCTCTATTTGTCATAAAATTCAAAACATCTAGATCCATCTTCTAAACATTGATTAATAATTAGGAACCATCGTATACATATAAAGAAGAAATTATAAAATGTAAAATATATTATAAGAGCTAATACAAATTATAAAAATTACAACAGGAATCAAGTACTGTTGATATCATACTGCTGACATTCAGTACTGTGACCGGTATTCAATAATTAAGTTTGGTCTTGAGGTATCGCGAACCAATCAGAGGGCCGCATTAGCGTTTTATGACATTAATCAAGAGGTCTTGAAATAAGAACCGACTATGAATACCGGCCTAATATCATTGTACACAATTTTTTACTTATAATACTTTACTATTGTCCGTTTCGTACAAGAACACAATCAAAAATTATTTTTTTGAAACAGATAAACTACATGTACCATATATTTTAGATATTTGAATGAAGAGCTTTGTATTACGGATAAAAAAAAATTAACTTGGACGGAACATACGCTGTCGATTAAGGCAAAGGGAGTTCAAGTTTAGCAGCAAAGGAAAATCTCTTGAATCAGACGTAAATGAGATAATTTCAACTCGGTATCATTCAGCTTATATCTCATGCTTTTTTTGATAACTATGACGATAGCTACAAAAAAAGTAACATTCGTATATGACCATGGTGATTATACATGTACATAACACCATGTATATAACACTCACGAAAAAATCGAAATAACCGAATTTAACTGAAATTATGCCACATCATTCTTTATCATTATCTCTTACAGCTATTCCTCATGAAATGCTCCGTCCAGGTTTTCGGTTTTTTCTCTTCTTAAAAAAAAGAACCTATATTTTAGTTCTTTCTCTTCTTAATGAGGTACACAGTTCAAAGGAACCTTCGTTATAATTAAATTTTTTTCCCAAAGATCTTTCACTACTTGAATCTATAATAGTCAAAATAATCGCAAGTTAACATTGTACACACATCACTTAATAAAATATTGCAAACAATGTATGCTTCATACCTTTGTGTCAGCATTTTTGATTTTCAGATCCTTCACAGATATAAAATTAGGATAGGCTCCTATTATTTGTTTAATCGCAGGCACAAATTCTTTATCAATTTCTAAATATTGTAGCTCATATTCGTGGTATTCTTTAGAATTTTCGGTAGAGTAATATATTTTATATACTTTACCTTCTTTTATTAACCTGATAATACAGTAACATAGTTATATATTATCGTTTTTTGAACTCGCTTTTCAAAATGGATTATAGCTCACCTGATGCAATGCAATCTTAATAATCGTATCTCAGTCGAAAGCTTAATTTTCCCATAACGCTTTGGCCCAGTACAGCCCGTGTTCTCACCGTCTTCTAGTATTGTATACTTACGTTCTGGCTTAAAGATATAAGGGGGCAGAGAATCGTGGATCTGACGTTTGGCCATCAAATCGGCTGCATGGTCAATATCAATATATTCAAATAGCTCAGTGAACAACCTCTTAACAAGAGTCTTGAAATATTCTTTGGCCAATGGGCCATCGTCGTATTGACAACCGACAAATGTTAAGTAATTAACCGGTAATCCTTCACGAAAACGAATATCTCTTTTGGTGGCTTGCTTTAGAGCTTGTGGAAGCAATTTTTCAAAAAGGTCGCACCAACTATTTCTTTGAAACACGCTTACTGTGATGTGCAAGCTGTAAGAATCGAGAGCCATTGCTTGATGGATGATTCCTCGTGGTAGATACAACAAATCTCCAGCGCTGACAATCTTATCCATTATTGGCTCTCCTAACTCCGACTCATCAAAATTCTTTGAGGAATACCTTGACAACTTTTGACTTGGTTTAAGTGGCTCATATAGTTTCCATCTCTTTTCACCCTCGATTTGCAAAATAAATGCTTCCACATCATCATAATGAGGAGCGAAACCTTGGCTATTAGGTGGCGTGAGATATATATTAGCACCAACAAAGCAACCAAAGAATTCTTGGAGAGTAGCTACAAAACACGTTACAAATTTAAAAAGTAATAATACATTCTTAAAATATAACTACACTATATTTTTTACCATTCAAAGCATGTATCCTGGGTATAAATATTTGAGGATTTAACATCCTAATAGAGCAATTGTTTTTAAAATAGTCCCAAACAACACTCGGATAAGCGCGACCAGGAGGATTATGAGTCTCTTTTACTCCATTAGAGTAAGAGGTTATGTCAAGGTTTTTAGTAAATAGAACGTTATTATCTCTCAACGTTTCTTCAAATATAGACATTGATAAAAGGATCTTATGATAAGTACACGTATTTCTTTTTATATGTAATGGATTTTTTTGCCACTGTCGTCTGATTCAAATAAAAAGATTGATATTAATGCACAACAAAAAATGTATAAACATATATATATATATTGTACTTGTCGATTTCAACTTACGAGAAGAATTGTGCCTTAGGCATAGGATACAATATCCACCTAAATAGTTTATCACATTCATCAATAGGATTCCAAGGATCATCAGAATCATTTAGCTTAATACTTGAGTAATTTGTATCTGTTTTCAAGTGACTTGAATTTGCCTCATTTAAAATATTTTCCCTGCTTTCTGTTTCCTCTTCTTTTGGTTTTATATGAATAGTATAAGCAGTTACTGTTTTCTTCTTAGCAGCCTTTTTATTTTTCTTATTCTCTTCTTTCATAATTTTTAATTTCAATTTGTTGCATCCCATCTTTTTCTTTGTGCTTGCTTGTTTAACATCTTTTCCTTCTTTGTGAAAAGCTTTCTGCTTTTTTTTCTTTTTACTCAATAACTGTTCTATGTTTTTACGTTTTGCTGCATGCATGGCAAAAGCTGATATTGGCTCTTCCATATTACCTGATATTAAATATTAACTCAAGCACAATCGGATATAACTTAAGTTTATATTTCTTAAACGTTAAATTAGAATAGTCCAGCAGCTTATCAAAAATAAGTCAGCAAAGATTTTTTGATGGCTCTTGTCTTTCACTGATTATTAGTAATCGAAGTGCTCTTAACCTATCTGATTATACACATAAATTCTTGTACCTGTAATAAACACTTTCTCTGTAATGATTATATTTCAAAATAAAAGTTAAATATAAAATTCTATATAAATTTGTTCGTTATAAAATTAAATATTGCTTTCGTTGCTATCTATTTTCTTCTCTTCCAAAAGCAACGTGATACTAAGGGGCCAATTCTATAACTCTTAACGACAGTCGTTGATGTCATTGCGCAGCTTTTTTACTCAACATAATATCTGCGCAACATCAACGACTGTCGTTAAGAGTTACAGAATTGGCCTCTAAGATAGGTTAGATTCCAACATATATTGCGTTAATACGAAAGCTACATAAAGAATCAATCGAGTCAATAAATAATCAGAAAATTTTTATAGTTTTGTAAAAAACTACGATGTAACTTATTGTTATACATACCTCTTTTAATATCAAGTGTACGTGATAACGGAGCCACGTGGTGTAGAATATATATTCGTTAGGATATAAGGGCATTCACAAAGTGCCAGTCACGCCGCTTCCTTAGCATTGCTCGAGTTCTAAATTATGACCCCTAATCCCAAAGGTTGCTATCTCATTTATTCGTTTCCATCGTACGATAAATTTTCCAAGCATGTGATTGGCTGTAAGACAGAGATTCGAAAATCTCTCCGTCCTTTTTATATGTATTTTGGAACTTTTAACGTACTTCGGTATCTGTTATTGCGCAGCTTTTTCACCACGTAAAATACGTGCGCAACGACATACTTAGCTACTAAAATTATCATAAAAAAGATACAGAATGGGCTTATCAGTAGCCCTATTCTCATAGTCTAAGAATAGTGATAATTTGTTCCGATAAAAAAAAAAGAAAGATTAACCCTTACCGTACTAATATGGGTAACTCATATTCTAAGAATAGTGATAATTTGTTCCGATAAAAAAAAAGAAAGATTAACCCTTACCGTACTAATATGGGTAACTATAGTGACCGAGCGATTCCTGTTCGTGCAAGTTTCTTTGAGTCTTTCGGTAATTATAAATTATACTACATTTTATTATTTTCCAAAATAAAGAGTCAATATTTGTTCTAGAAAGTTGAAAGTATGTTGGTAAATTTTTAGAGATTTTTAAAATTATTTTGAAGAGGTGAAAAAACGAACAGATTTGAAGTGACCCTTGATGGTATGGATGAGGCACCAAATTGTAGATGGTACGGTAAGGGTTAATCCCTTATCTAATGAATAAGAATTAAATTAAAATATATAAAGAGTATAAAGTATGAAATATAAGGTAAAAATTTTTTATCTAATACTTTTTACTAAAAAGTATGACATATCAAATCTAAAGGGATCAAATTGAGTTTTAATTAAAACGGAATTTAAATTTTTTTTTAGATTTTTTCAGCCTCGCAAAATAAATTCTAGTAAATTGACAAGCTCTAAATATTTCTTGCAAAAAACAATATTTCATCTCATCTCTTTTTGAACACTGCCAAAATTTAAGAAAAAATACGATAAATTAAAAAATACCGGTGTATATAAGTATATATATTATAATTACAAATTTTTTTATATTTGAGAATATATTACGAAAAAGATCGATGATTTTTACAGCACATTTTTCGCATAGAGTCAAATAAAAAGAGAAGATAATAGATTTTTTCGAAGTTTATTTAGATCCATTAAATCTATACCACCCATAATAAATCTTACGTGACTAAGTTTTGTTTATCTAGAAAATCTATACATAATTATCCGGAAAAAGTAAGATTAAACCCGTACACTGCGATACATGTTACAGTCGAGTCACCGTATTCTGCACTCTACTTTAAACCGCTTCTTCATACACTATCTCTTCCATTAATTACATCCTCATCACAATCGGTTTAGAGCGGCATGCCGAACACAGAGACAATAACTTATTCAGTGTTTTGGACAGTGTTTATAACGCACATGGAATTGTTCTGCATCATATTAAAGTCACACATAATATTTCAAGGGAGTAGTCCGTATCTCAGTCGAGGTATTATTCAATATAGTGCGTAAGTGCCTGTATGCCCGTGTGTATGTGTGTTTATTACATATACATATATATGTATATATATATTCTCTAAATTCTTTGGAATAGAATCTTACTCTTTTAAAGAGAGAGAATGAAAATTGAGCCAATCTTGAAAAAAATTGATGCCCAATTTCTCCATTATATTCTGGGATATTTCTTGGATAAAGTTATCTAGAGGTGAAGAAATTGGGCATGACTCAATTTTCAATCTTTAAGAGTCAGATTTTACTCTTCAGGGTGAGATTCACTCTAAAAATGTTAGAGAGTATATATATATATATAATATATATATATATATATATATATTATATACATATATATAGGGTGATCGCCACATTATCTTATATATTAATTGCTGCACGATCTTTTGTCAAATGTTTGTCTCGTATGAATTACGATATTTTGTATATTCTTTCAGCGTGTACCAGTGAATCAAATTCCTTCCCTTCTCATCTCAATGATGTTTTTGATTACATTCAAGAATTAATTGTTTATATACATATATATAGTATACGGTATACCCTTTAATTTCCCAATTGACTCAAAGTCAATGTGAATATGGGCGTGTTATATAGCATCTATGTATACTTTGAAAATAATTTACAAAAATTTTTGCTCCGTTTAATTAGTCGTGACTTATTATCGTAATTTATGGTTGCGTTACCTCTTCCTAATCAGACACGTATAATCTTTTTTTTTTCTTATTCGCGAATTTTCTCCATGGTACGCGCAGAACTTTTAACTCGAAAGGGTCAACGGTCCGTGTTAATTAACTCCGGTTAACAATTTACTGATCTTTCGTTTTAGATTATACAGCCACAACTATAACGTGCGCAACTATAACGGGATTCGGCTACAACGGCAGAAGGTTTAGTTAAGCGGAGTTAATTTGCTGACCGAGCCTGGTGCCCAAGTTGTCGGAAACGTACTACTACATAGATCGTCTCGCTCTTCTCTCTGTTATAATAAAACTGACAACACAGATCGACAAGGCGCGAAATATCGAGACGCGTGTTCGCTCGACGAAGACATCTCGCCCATCGCTGCTTATCCCGATTTCGCGTCGTGTCACGTTCGTCTATTGCATTTGCGGAACAAGAAGCGTCATTTTTATCAACGTTCTATAAAACAATCAATATTTGTTATCGATACTCCATTACTGACGTAGCTACTATGGTAGAGTCTTGTAATTCGAGAAACTAAATAAAGTCCCTGTTGACGCAATAGCAGGTATTAGTTAGAATCTTCTCTACAGAAAACAATATAAAGATCTGATTGATTAAAAAACACTTGTTAGAACGTTTTTTAAGTTTAAAATATTTTTTGGATATTCTGTACGCAGATCTTTTTTTAAGAATATGTGATGGAAATTATGTACATACACGAATTACGTAAAGAATGTTCGATATATTAATGATATTTAAGAGTTTTTTTATTTCATTACATCTACATCTATTTTTATAAATTTCTTACACATTAAAATAAAAAAGGAGAATTCTATATTAAATTTTGATGCGCATATATAGTGAATGTAGTGAAATTCATATAAATTTATTTCTTAGATTATAAATATATATAGATATTTTTTTAAGTGTATGAATTTAAAAACAGTTTATGCCCAATTTCTTCACTTCCAGATAAATTGCGGATAATCTTATCAAGGAAATATCTCCATTGTATTCTGGGAGATATTTCTTGGATAAAGTTATCTAGAGGTGAAAAAATTGGACATAAGCCGTATGAGAGATACAAGTTTAATAGAATGAATGTATCGATAAGAAGTATTGAAGGTTCCAGAGCTTAATACTTTACAGAGAAACGATTCGGAAAGCCCGTCAATCTCCGTATTACACAAAATATTGTCTTATATGTCAACTTCCCTTAAAATTCTACATGAAGATGGAGACCTTTCTTTGAACTTCGATTAATAGTTAATATTGGTTATACACAAATCGATCCGTTCGTTATTATACGAGCGAACTTTTGTTCGTACGGTCCTGATTATTTCTTAATCTCATAGGTCGTAGAATATAACATCATAAATTAATAAGTATATCCATCCACTGTTATATATCACGCATATATTATCGTATTATATTATCGATGGCACATATATTGTTATTTATCGTTTATCTTCAGAAGTGCGTTTAAAGATCACGGATGTGATCGATTATGATCCCCTATTGCATTATTCCCAGATGAATTGATCGTCGACCGACTCGTAATGCAGATGTAATTGGCAAGTATAATAAACGTAAGAGGCACAAACATGACACAGTCGAATATTTTATAAAAATTCAGAGAAAAATTGAAAAATATTATTTATTAAATATAATGGAATTTTTAATTAACGGAAACCAAAATTCAATAATTATTTCCGATGACATAAAAGTCTGATCGTGTGAGTGACATGGCTAAAATGCATTTGCATGTCGCATATGCTCTAAACTGTGTTCGCGTATATTTTATTACACTAATAGAATCTCGTAAATATAAGAATTGTAGAATATTAAGTGAAAATAGATCGAGAAATATTCAACACAAATAAATAAAAAGGGCCATATTTGATCTTAGTGTCTAATATTTTTATGTGAATTTTTACAATTTCTAATTAAGCTCCGATTATTTATCGATCTTGAAACAGTCTTGGAACAAAAGAATACATAATATCATAAATTAAATTGATAAAAAGTTTAATATTACTGAATTATAATATAATTATATAATAATATAATTATATTTTTTATTATTATATATATTATCATTATACCGATAATATATACTGTAATTTTCTTTCGCAGAAACATGATACTAATTTCAATTCTTACATAATAATAACAAAAATAAAGATACAGAGCTAAATATCCAATAAATTTACATTTAAATAAAGCTTTCGAGATATTACGGCAGACATACACAGATCGGAAAATGATATCGCGTAATTTCAACGAGAGGAATTGTCGCAATTATACCGACCTCCATCCTTAAGGATAATATTACACTTTTTTTAACAAAATGAAAAAATAAAGTTTTCTATATTGTATTTGAAGGTAATACAAAAAATAATACGAAAAATTTGACAATTTAGAATTTGAATCAAAAATGATTTTCAATAA